AGCACAGCAGAGGGCGGCATGCCACGTCCCTTCTGCAGGCCTCAGCCTCTGGCTGTCCTGGGTCTACCTACCCACGCCAGGAACAGGGAGCCTCGCCTTTCCAGCCAGCCGGCTGTGCTCCAGACTAGGCTGATGTGAGCAAGAAGGCTTTCCCAGCCCTCAGGGTCTGAGCAGTTTCCCAGCACCCAGTGGAGTCTGCTCCTGCGAGTCCACCAGCAGCCCCTTCCAGCTTCAGAGCAGAGCCAGCCTGAGGGCTCTCCTCTAGGGTGGCCCATCCACAGAGCACTGGATACTGGGACAGCACCTTCAGAAAAGGTCTCTAAGACCCATCTACACCTTGTTCAGTGCACAGGCCCTGGGTAGGAGGCACTTGTCCAAGGCCGCCCAGCGAGCAGGAGGTGGAGCCATAGAGGCTCTGGCCTCTATGCCAAGGCCCCTCCAGGACTGAGGGTTCTGTGGGGCGGGGCTGAGCCCCATCCCCACCCTGGCTGGGCACAAGGGGCTCTGTGGACAAACATGCCTGTCCCTCCAGCACCAACCTGCACCATGGCGAGGTCACTGCAGACAGCCCAACCAGAGGTGGCTGAGCCCGAGGCCCACCCTGACGCAGGCTCGCGAGGCAGGCATGCAGAGTTCGGAAAAGGAAAATGCCACGTAAGGAAATGCTCTGAGGCCCTGCCTGCCCTGAGGTCCTGACCAGCCATGACTCTGAGGAGCCAGGGGGATCTCACAGGCCCACAAGTGTGGGTGTGTGGTGAGACCCTGGGGATTGCTGAGGCCAGCCCCTTACAAGGTGGGCAACAGGGGACCAGAGGGGGCCAGCTCTGCCCTGGAACAGTGTCCTTGTCCCCAGCCAGATGGCCTGCCAGGGCGCCCTTTGCCTCACACGACTGGTTCTCTGCTCAGGATCACACTGCTGGGGGTGGAGGGGCAGCCCAGAGCTCTGGTTTGGGCCTCCCCAGGACCCAGGCTTCACTCCTGCCACAGCCTCAGTTTCTGCATCTGTTGGATGGGAATGTGGTCTCCCAGGAGCTGTGAGAGCAGAGGCCAGGGCTTGGACAGGGCTGGCTGGCCCCCAGCACTGGCTGCTTCTGGCCAGGCCTCCGAGGCGCCCAGGTCCCTGCATCAGGGCAGCGCTGGCAGCGAGAGCTCCCGAGTGAAGCGTGTGCCCAGTCCTGTGCTGAGGCCTGGCCTGCCTGGCAGGTGGAGAGTGACTTTGCTGCACAAAGCTGTCAGCACCCTGGGCCCTCCAGGGAGGGGCCTCCCCAGGCTGAGAAAGTGTGCCCCCACCCCATGACGACAGGGGACACGTACCTTCCAGCAGGGGTCCTCATTGGCTAGCACAGGGAAGAAGGGCAAGAACAGGTTAGAGGGTGACAGCAGAATGAGGTCAGGACCCAAATCCATGAGGCTGGGGGCCAGGGTCCCCATCCCTGGCCATGACAGAAGCATCCTGGGCCCAGGGATGCCTGGCTCTCACCAGGGCATGACAGGAAAGGGTCTCTCTGGCCTGGTGGCGACTAGGCCCCAGTGGGAACCGGTCAGGTGGCCTCAGAACTCTCTGAGGAACCTGATGGCAGTGCACTGCCCAGTGGAGGGACCACTGCTCTGACCCCTCAAAGAGACTTAATTTTGGTTCTTTTCTGGGTGCAACCCAAAGTGATGTCATGCCACATCTCAGGGGTCGCACGGTCTCTGCTCAGCCCTCGGTCGGTGGAGGCGCCCTCCGCAGTCCTGCAGGCCTGGCGCACGGTGTGGCCTTCCCCAGGCATCACCACCCAGCCCGAGAGGCAGGCCCTATTCGGGACCCTTTTATAGATGGGTAACCAAGGCCCAGGAGGTGTCCTGACATGGAGAAGGCCACACCCGACCCCAAAGGGGCAGTCATCGCGGCCTTTAGTGCTGTTCTCCCAGGACCGGCAGCTGCTCTGATCAGCCCTGCCCTTGCTGCCCCGAGGGGCTGGGCCGGGTGAGGCTGGCAGGGAGGAGGGGTCTGTGCAAACCTGAAGGAGGCCTCAGCCCACTGCCGGAGCCCAGGCCCTGCCCAAGGCTAACTCCCCCTTTTGTTTGTCTGTTTGTCTGAGGGTGCCTGAGGCCTGCCCTGTCACTGGCCTGTCAGAGGCTGAGCTGGCCCAAAGGCCCGGGACCCCACCAGCTGGGCCTCTCATTGCCCAGTGCAGGCCCACGAGGGCAGCTGAGGGCTGGGAGCCTCCAGCCCAGGGGAGGCAACTGAGCCACCACCAAGAACCAAGATCCTGTCCCCAGGGTAGGCCATGCCTAAGCTGCCAGGAGGGATGGGGATATGAGGTTTCCCTGAAACAGGGTCTTCGTCCCCAACCCAGACAGCCTGCCAGGGCGCCCTTCGCCTCTCACGGCTGGTTCTCTGCTCAGGATCACACTGCTCTGGCCTGGGCCTCCCCAGGACCCAGGCTTCACTCCTGCCACAGCCTCAGTCTCCGCATCTGTCCTATGGAAATGTGGTCCACCCAAGGAGCTGTGAGGGCAGAGGCCAGGGTTTGCACAGGGCCCTATTCGGGACCCTTTTATAGATGGGTAACCAAGGCCCAGGAGGTGTCCTGACATGGAGAAGGCCACACCCGACCCCAAAGGGGCAGTCATCGCGGCCTTTAGTGCTGTTCTCCCAGGACCGGCAGCTGCTCTGATCAGCCCTGCCCTTGCTGCCCCGAGGGGCTGGGCCGGGTGAGGCTGGCAGGGAGGAGGGGTCTGTGCAAACCTGAAGGAGGCCTCAGCCCACTGCCGGAGCCCAGGCCCTGCCCAAGGCTAACTTGCCCTGTTGTTTGTCTGTTTGTCTGAGGGTGCCTGAGGCCTGCCCTGTCACTGGCCTGTCAGAGGCTGAGCTGGCCCAAAGGCCCGGGACCCCACCAGCTGGGCCTCTCATTGCCCAGTGCAGGCCCACGAGGGCAGCTGAGGGCTGGGAGCCTCCAGCCCAGGGGAGGCAACTGAGCCACCACCAAGAACCAAGATCCTGTCCCCAGGGTAGGCCATGCCTAAGCTGCCAGGAGGGATGGGGATATGAGGTTTCCCTGAAACAGGGTCTTCGTCCCCAACCCAGACAGCCTGCCAGGGCGCCCTTCGCCTCTCACGGCTGGTTCTCTGCTCAGGATCACACTGCTCTGGCCTGGGCCTCCCCAGGACCCAGGCTTCACTCCTGCCACAGCCTCAGTCTCCGCATCTGTCCTATGGAAATGTGGTCCACCCAAGGAGCTGTGAGGGCAGAGGCCAGGGTTTGCACAGGCCTGGGGAGCTGCAGAGTGGAGTGACCACCGTGGTGGGGCCAGGCAGGAGACGCTGGGCCGCACTTACCTCTTGCTGTGAGGAACAGGGGGCTGTGGAGATAGTTGGAGGCCAGCCTTTTTCTCTGCAGGGACAGAAAACACAGCCATTGCCTGGAGTCTGTCCTCTGTCCTTGCTGGGCCACCCCATCCAGGCCCCCAGGAAGGCTCCCCACCCCGCATGTCTCCAGGTGGACACCCCCTGCCAGAGGTCGAGACAGACACATGGGGACACAGGGTGCAGGGGGCAGGTAGCTCCTCCCTGCAGGGCCAGAAGGCCCACCTGGACTCTGACTTAGGCAGGGTGTGTGGAAGACCAAGGCGGGTGAGGCAGTACGAGGTCGACCCCGCAGCATCCCCAGGATCCGCTCTCTGCTGGTGTGGGAGGCAGGTGGGTGAAGGAGGGTGTGGAGGCCGGCTCCCTAAACTCCCCTTCTTGGGTGGCAGCTGGAAGCCTCCCCTGTGGGAGGAGGTTTCTGGCATACCCTAGGAGGGTAGCCTTTGTCCTAGCCTTAGCAACTGTAGGCCACAGGTTCGGCCTTAGTGGCTTGAGGTGGCTTTGGCGGTGGCAGGAAGATGGGTCTGGGACTGCGAGACGGGCTTGAAACCCACCTCGCTGGTGTGTCAGGGAGGGTCTGTGGGCAAGCTCTTCTGGGCCACCAGTCCATTCGAGCCTTAGGGCTGCAGGCTCTGAGTTGTTACCAAGGTCGTCTCTGGCCCTGGCCACAGACCTGGGGACAGTGGCCCAGCCCTGCCCACAGACCCGGGGACAATGGCCCAGACCTGCCCACAGACCCGGGGACAATGGCCCAGACCTGCCCACAGACCCGGGGACAATGGCCCAGACCTGCCCACAGAGAGAACAGTCTTGCTTGTGCCAGGTCAAAGGGACGGGCCTCGCCACAGAGAACATGTCGCCCTTCCATGGGGGACAGCTCGACCACGTCCTTACAGACGGCCCAGGTCTTGGGACAGGGCTGGTGCGGGGGCCCAAGGGCAGGCGAACGGGTGTTATCTGCACCCGGGACAGGTCCTCAAACCAGGGAGAAGTGGAGGGGCATGTGAACAGGCTGCCAAAGCCAGAGGACGCTCACAGGGGGGCTCCCGGACAGGGCAGTTGCAGGCTGGGACTACCCGCCTCCCCCGGGGTCCTCCCTCTCCTGTCCCTCCGAGGGAGGGGTGACTGTAAGCGCTCTCTCGCTCCGCCTCCTGAGCTCAGTCAGCTCGCAGCAGGTGACGGGCTGAGCGGAGTTCAAGTTCACAAGACGTGGACTTGGGACAGTTGGCCTGGGCTGGCCCTGGGGCCGAGACTGGCATCCTCTCCTCTTCCTCCAGACGGGCTTTGGGGACCCTCAGGAAATGGCCCCTATGCCCAGGAGGGATCCAGCTACTGCCCCTCCGGAAGCCCTGGTGGACCCCGCAGGGCAGACCTTGGGGAGAACACGCCTGGATTTTAACTTAAGCATTTTGACAAGAAGGTCTCACTCTGTGTTCGCTCTCCCTGGAAAGCTGCCGACTGGACACCAAGGTGCTCCGACCCGGGCACCGTCTTGGTCACGGCCGAGCCTCTGGGGACCACCTCCTGGAGCCACGGCATCGGGCGGTGCTTTGTGTGGGGTGGGGTTGCCTCGCAGGCACGTCTTGCCTCGGGAGTTAACATTCAATGTCCTAGTCTACTGGTTTCCGAGCCTGGGGACAGGGGCCACTGCACACTGCCCACCAGAGGCCAGGGGGACACGTGGAAGCTGGCTGGAATGGGTGCCACCCATGAAAGACGGAGCGCTGTCCTGGCAGCTGGCCGTGCCCCACCCCTGGTGGGCACGTGTGCAGCCCAGCACGGGCTCAGGCCGACACCGTGGGTCTGGAGAAAGGGAGCTGTGCTGGGGCCTCCCTGGGGCAGCGGCTCAGCCGGCAACACTGCAGATGCCTCAGGCCTCCCTAGAGGAGGCTCCAGATGGGAGAGAGGGAAAGCAACGGGCCCCTGGGCCTTCTCGCTGGGGCCAGCCAGCTCCCAACCTCACCTCTCTCTGGAGAGGTTGTGCGGATTCTGCTCGAGGTAGTCTCAGAAGCCCGGGTGCAGCCCTGCCTGGCCCTGGGTGATACGCCAGGACAGCCCATGTGGCAGCCCCGCCCCAGCGCAGCTGCTATGACAGACACACAGACGCTGACACTGCCACATCTGCCTCTCAAATGACCGAGACAGGACACCCGGAGGGAGAGTGCCACTCCTGGGAGGGACAGGCAGGGAGGCTCAG